CCGCACCATTTCCAAGCCCGGCATGATCCACCTCCTCCTCCCCTTCCCCACACTTACACTTGGGTCTTGACGATCTCAGAGTGGATCTTCGCCACACCGTTGACGGCGTGGGAGCCGACGATGCAGAGGTGGGCCATGTTGATTCTCTTGGTGCCCCCTTCCTCGATCAGGGACATCCTCCGCAGCCGGTCCACGTCGTTAGGGAAGAGGGACGCGATGTGCTGCCGGCAGAGGCCAGAGAGGCGGGGGGGCGGGCCACCGTTTCGGGATGTCCCACCTTATGTCTCCCAAAGAGGAGGCCGCCGTGATGTCCCCAACACATCTGACACCAGCTAGAGCGGTGGCTTTTACTCCAGTGGGATGGTGCTCACTCCCTCCAAGGGGTGTTCTTTCCCAGTATGGACATCTCTGGACAGAAGGACCCCCCAAGCCCCCACAGAGCGGGGACTGCAGGCACGTCCTTGGCCAGAGAGGCCAGGTACTGCCAGACCGGGTGGCCAAACGACCACTTCCTTGGGAACCCCAACCTCATCCTTCTGCAGGATGAATTTAGCGTGAAATGCCAACAGCTAAGTCCCTGGAGTAACGGGTGAAGCCTTTAAAACAGTCACTAACTGCAAGATGGCAACAGGCCGGTGGGAAGGGCTTTCCTACACACCAGCCTCCCAAAACATCAGCCAGAACCACCTGCCCTCACACCCAACGTCATTGGTTCATGCATCCCCCCCATCCCGACAGCACAATGGGTGCCATCCCTGTCCCGCTCTCTGGAGAGGGCTCCAGCACTGCCCCGAGGCACTTACATCCAGGTGTCTCTGGTTGATCTCGTAGATGATTTGCAGGTGTCTGGGGAGCAGCTTCTCCACCAAGTCCACCGGCCAGCGCTCCAGGGCTTCGGGAAGCACCGTGTGGTTGGTGTAGGCGAAGGTCCTTTTGGTGATGTCCCAGGCCTACCAGGGAGAGAGCTGGGGTGCTGAGGGTGCAGGCAGCCCCGGGTGGGTGCCAGCACCCACGCACAGTTCTCCCATGGTGGCCAGCAGCAGGCTCCTCAATGTCCATACTGGTGAAACCCAATTTGACTGCTCTACATCATTCCCTGGGCCACCAGCAGTCACAAAACTCGTTCCCCAGCTCCTCCACCACGGGTGCAAGCAGAAGGGACCCAGGGGGGCCAGGTCAGATCTGCCTACCTTGTTCCACGGCAGCTTCTCGATGTCCACGAAAATCCTCATCAGCTCAGGGATGGCCATGGCGGGGTGCGTGTCGTTCAGCTGGATGGCGACCTGTGCGGAGAAGAGGGGTGGCACATGGGGACAAGTGGGAGACAGGTGGGTATGCCACCACCCACGTGAGCTGGGCACAGGCACCCACGGAGGCTCCATGAAACCTGTCCAGCACCTGGAAAGTGTCAAAACGGAGCAAGCCTGGCTCATACCTGATCGGGGAAGGAATCAAACACAGTCCGGACGCTGTCGGTGCTCCCAAATTTTGACGCTTTGAAGCGGCGTATGATGTCCTGGAGGGTGGCAGCCACGACGAAGTACTCCTGCTTCAGCCGCAGCTCCTTCCCCTCGAAGAACTGCGAGGAGAGGAGCAGGGGAGGATTGCCTCGTGCTGCCTGGGCATGCCAG